CCAAAATACTTTGGTGGCAAATAGTCATAATGTAAATGTAGGATGACATATAACTGAATTGTCAGTGTAGTTCCCGTTTTGTTAAATATATGTGATAAATAGAAGAAATGACTAGAATGAATAAACTAAGATGTTTACATTCATGATTAGTTTGTAGAATTGTAAGTGGTTTTTATATATTTTCTAAAATTTGTACAGTGAAAATTCACTTTTATAAAAAGATGTAAATAAAAAATATAAAATCTCATGTAGTTTCAAACAATGGAAAAATATTCAATCATATGTAAATACCTATTATTTGCTGGTTTTAAAGAGAGTTTTGTAATCATCCTCATTCAATTTTATAAAATCAAAGAAATTCTTTATCTTAAGTCATTGTATTGCAGATCTGAAAAAGACGTGGGCCTTTTGAAGTTCATGTTTGTATGTAAGTTTTTCCCCTTGCAATACTCCTGAAAATTTATCCAATAAGAAATACTGCTTGATATGCCATATGAAACTGACCCTCGGCCAGCTGTATTTTGTTCCCTATTAGTTAGATAATATGAAGACTTTTAATTGCTATAAAGCTTTGATAAAGAAAGTATAGACATATTCTACTGAAATTAAACAGGTTCAACTAGTGTTAAACAGAGGCAAGAAAATTTAGATGCAAAATCATCACATATGGAAAAAGCTATTGTAAAAATGCCCTTTTTGTTTACACCATGACAATTTATTTGCTGATTCTACCATTTAATTTTTCTATTGAAGAAATGTCTGTTGCCTATTGCAGAATATTAATATTATTTCTTTGATGTCAGTGTAGTTCTTTGTTAAATAACATCAATTAAAGATTGCATACTTATCACCTTGGAAGTCAACCAAATTTTCACTTGAGCACTCGAAGTTCTACCTTCTTTAACAGCCAGCACCTCACTATTCTCTGCACATCTCTTTATCAAAACATTTTTGGAAGAAACTAATTCATCCTAAAATTTAAACCTACAATGACAAGAGCTGAAAATAGAAATATTAAAATAAAGAAAAAACTATTAGTTGGAAATTATTTATTGCATCTATAAAAGTTTAAATAAAAATCCTACAAAAATTCATGTTACAATCTGATGTGGTTTTAAGGTAATAGTACGCTTCAGAGGTAGTACAAGTAAAATGGGATGAAGGATTCCCAAAAGGAATTATGTACTTAGTAAGTTAATGCAAAGTAAAATTTCAATATGAAGCCATATATACTTAATATATCATTTAATGGAACAATCATAATAATATTTGCATGAAAATATCACCAAAGTGAATACATTCTCTTTCACCCCTTAGCAAGCCTGCTTTTAATAAAGGCTTGTATAAAGCAATGGTATGTATGTTGAGTGTGGGTTCACATGTTAGTAGGCTCTTCCATTACAACATTACATAGCACAGATTGGTGAAGGGCATGATACGGTGCTGTCTGCCAAGGATAACATCAACTTCAAAGGGAAAATTGTCCATAATTTAGTTAAAAGGGCACTCATAACTCCATGAAATGATAACCTATCACAATTTTACATTTTTCATATTTGAATTCAAATCTAGTACATCAAAAACGGTCAATATTCCTGTTATACTATTACTGCAATGTGGAGGAAGGATAGTAGTCAAAATTTTCACAATTTCTCTTAAAAGTGATCACAAATGGTTTAGCTGAGATGAGGAAACTCTGATGGATATGGGATGAAGTTCCCTGTGTCAAAAAAAAATGACAAAGTCAGTTGCAGAGCCAAGAATTCTTTTTGCTTGTTTTTGTTGTTTTGAGACAGTCTCCCTGTGTAATTCAGGCTGGCCTAGAGTTTGTACCAGCCCTTCTGCCTTAGCCTCTGAAGTGCTGCAATTACAGGCTTGCAACACCATGCCTGACTCCACAGAGTTCTTTTAAATCCTACAAACATATAAACCTGCTGAATACTACACGGCCTCAACAGAAATGTTTCTTTCTTTAGAGAAATGGCCTCTTGGACATATTTTGAGGTCTCAATATTATAGAGCACAGGAAGTGATTTGACCTCAGTCTTTTCTTCTCCAACAATAATAGAGTTCTAATGTAAAATGGCAATACAAAAGTTCTGCTACTGATAAAAACCATACCCAATTTCTATGAAGAGACCTATTTTCTTTCAATATTTTTTGCATATGTTAATTTTCCTATTCTTTAGGGAAACTACAATTCTCAATTTTGTTACTAATTTTAGCCTGCTGAAATGAATAAGGTTGTTTCTCTTTCTACAAATTTTGGAAAGTCAAACACTCTTAATATATATTTCCTATTTAGAAATTGTATGTTTATGCTAATCTTAAAGCAGACATTCAAATTTAGTCCACAGAAAAAAAGTTTTTTCCCCGCATTGGTTTCTGTCTCTTTGAGAGATGCTTCAGATAAACTTTTTTGATTTCATTGAAGCCCTGAAAGAAAAACACAAACTGATTTTTACCTTTTGGCATGAAAATGTTCATAATAATGATAATAATATGCTGCTTTTCCTGATCAAATATATCACAAAAGTAATTCTTATATATATATGTATATATATACATATATATATGAAATCATATTCTATTCATAATATGTATTCTTCTTTCATGTTCTCCTATCTTAAATTTTTAAAGTGTTGGGCATTAATCCCATGGAGTTGCAGGTGCTAAGTAAACGTTCTGCCACTGAGCTACAACACCTGCCCCATACTAACTTTTTTAAATACTTAAAGTTGACCTGTGTTTCAAAACCATGGTGCATAATTTCACTCTGCCAATTGTGATAATTTTCTTAATAAAACTATTTCATTTGGTTCCTGCTGCAGAACAGCCATAATTCATTTTAGATGTGTTTTATTTCTAGTGATGGTAAAAAATATTTTTGCTGTTGAAACACAAATGCCAAAATAAAAGGAGTCCTAAGTATACTATTATGATTCATTTAGTTTATATTCTAATGTAATTTTAACCTAGTGTGAGGGAATCATCCATGCTTCCTCCCAAAATTGTAAAACGAGAGGCTTTTGGGAATCACATCTAGCAGAATACTTAAATCAATTAGAATTTTTACTTAAATGTTTCATTAATATTTTTGACAAAGTTAAAAAGAAATAACTCCTTTTGAAGTGTACAGCTTGCTCAGAAGTCCAGCACAGTGCCTTCCATATAGCAGGAATTCAACAAATATTATTGAGTCAGTGTCTAGTTTCTAAAAGGTGAAAGATAAATTCGTAGTGTTAAACTATGTATTAAAGACTGCCCTACCTGTACTTTACCATGAGAACTAACTAAGAAGGGGCTTAAACTGAAACAAGAAATTTGAGTTAAAAAATAAACTTAGTAAGTAGGAAGGAGACCCTACGAGACATACAAAATCCTGAAATTTGTATATATTACTGAAGAAATAGCTTCTAATTTGCTGTCTTTATTCAGAACTCTATATCATGAAGAAATTGGTGTGAATGAGAAATTTGAATTTAATACTTCAAGTTCTGTTTCACTGTGCTCATTTCTTAAAAATGGAATTTGAATTTCCAGCAAGGAATACTAAACACGGAAAAGAACTGTATGGTTCTCAGCTAAAAGGGAGCATACTTGTGTACTAAGGTACTTCTGGCAACAGAGTAATCATAGAAGTAGTATGGCATCAATATAAAATCAAGCAAAATATAAGACCACCAATAAGCATGATCTATGATATTTGTATAGAATGGAGGGACATTATGTGGCTAAAGACATTCTGGATTGCCTTTCATTAATTTGTATTAATTCCATGATCGGAATTGGCTCTAATTAAAAATTTTTACATATTTGAAGTAGAAAGTTGATAACTAAAATGTGCCATCTAATTATTTATCAGTCTTTTACAGAAGTATAGGTAGTAGTTTAATCATGCAACACAATTCAACACTGCCAAGTCACAGATATACAACACTATGAGGGTACAAAGAAATTGGCATTTTCTTTAATATGTGTATTGGAAATGCCACCCGTTACCCTGGAAGGAAGATCTGCAAAGAAATGTCTACAGTGTGTTGCCATCTAATCATAGTAATAGAACAACCTGTACTATGTCCATTTTAGGTGTGTACTCATAGAATAGTATTCAGGAAATTCAGAGGACTCATTTACAACCAAAGTAGCAAGATTCTTTTTGGATATTATCCTTGGCTGATGGCTCTGTACGGGCTTCACATGAAAATGGGTTAAATTTTGTGGCATAGCTCAGTGACTAGATTTTAAAATAAATCTCAGTGGCTTACCTTGACTTCTTGTTTCATAAAATGTTAGAACTGAAAAAAACATTTCGAAGATGGTGATATACTTGAAATATTTGTGCAATATTTAATCTAGCTCATGTACAAAAATTTACCAGTAGAATTTAAAGCTTACCTATATTTGTCTTTTGTAGCATGAAGAATTCTTGGTAAGACTAATATTTTACAATATTTTCTGTCTGTACACATAGCCATTTAACTTTATGTTGGTAAATTAATTTTTCTTAGTATTTTCCCCCTTCTCACAGATATTTGGATTAGATAAAAGATTACAAACAATATACAATTGCATACTAGTCATTACTTCAATTTTCAATCATTAGTTTAAATCATAATAATAGTATAATAGAGTCATTTTTCTTAGGGGTTGAAAAATAAATCCCATGATTTATCCAGATTAAATAGTTTTTCTAAAGTTTTGTTTTTCATTTTTAGTTCACTTTCCTGAGTAACAATGTATATGGATGATAGGAAAAAGAGAGGAAGAAAGATGTAATTGCTACAAAAACAAGACAAATCAAGCTTTAGTAGCTTGATAAATAATGTTGAAATATATTTATTTTTGTGTCCCTGGTTAAAGCTATTACTAAATATTTTATAAAATCAAGCAAATGTATTTCAGAAATTAGATATAATAAATTTCATAGCTGAGTTGCTCAAAATTAAATACAAATTTTTCCAGAGTACCATTAGTATGGAAAAAATCTCTCAGTTTTAAAATTTCAAAAGCATTTTTTGCATTGTAGCCATTACATGTGGTCCAGCCTTCAGAAGAATATCTTTGTTCCAATAATATGATTTTTCAACTGAAGAATATTGGGGTAACAGAATGCAGTTATCTTAAAATGCACACCTGTTAAGCAGTAAAAATTCTGCATCATATATCTCCCCTCAAATCATAAACTGTCTGATGCATTCTTCTCTGATAAAGAAGACACACTGAATGAGGTATCATCAGGCTCCGGTGAAGCATGGTTGAAGTCCATCTCTTCTAATTCAGGAGGTAATTCTGACAGCAGTGCCTGATTCAGAAAAATCATTTGGGGGGAATTAGTATGTGGATAGAGAGTTTTTTTCCAATTTATTTTAAAATTTTATTTACTTGCAGGTCTCTCATTTTGATTTATTTACATAGATTTAAATAAATATTTCTCTTTCAGTATCTAATGCAATGGCTTCATTAAAATAAAAGTTCTTCATAAATTATTAAGAAAGAAACCAAATACTAGATACAGACAGTATGAACTGTGTAGAATAGAACTCTGTATGAAAGAGAAAATCATAGGGAAATGTTCAAGTATTCTGAACCAAGTACTTTAAAGTGTTTGATTTAATTGATTTTTTAACTAGTTCTGAATGTTCACTGATCATTGCTAAAGAGATTGAAAATCCTATCCTTTATTAAAATATCTATGCCTAATTGTACTATACTTTTGAGAAAACCATATTCCACAAACATTTATTTTTGTCTTCACTGGGAGAATGAATTTATCAATTAAAATAGAATTTTAGCTAGTCTAATGTAGACTAAACTGTAACAACTTGAAAAGACCAAGTAATCTTCCTCCTTTCTTTGGCCACATCTACAGATAGCCAAGTACCCACTAGGGCCAGCTGAATCAAAGAATGGAGCTGTTGTAATGATGTACCTGGACAGCTTTACATTTCTCAGCTGGAGTGATGAGGAGAGGCCAAGAATCATGGCCTAATTGATTCACTTGTGGTTGCATACCATGCATCTATACTAGGGAAATACATGATTAATTAAGTTTTATGTTTCTGTCAGTTATGATGTCCATTTGACCATAAGAAACTAGAAGTAAATGATTGATTTGCAGCTCAGTACTACAAATAATATGCATAGCTGGTGATTTTTAGGCAGCATATTACTTGTAGCATGAGCTTTGGGTACAGTTGTAAACAACGGCTGAGGGAACAGGAAAAAGTAAAAATTTACCATCACCTAATTGAGGAAAAGAAATCAAGGGCATATTGGAAAGTGCATTAAAGTCCACTGTTGCAAAATGAAAGTATTTTCCAATTCTCTTTATTAAAATAAGTAAGAGCTACAAGCCCTATATATTTTGCCTTTGGAGCATATAGGACAGATTAAAACTTGTTATTTTTCTCAGACTGTGTTAGGAAAAACTAACTCCTACCAAGAAAAAAGCTATGATTTATTTTATGTCATTAAAATGTCCATGACCTTCTTGCCAAAATGTACAGTTTTGACATAATAGTTACCTAAAGATACTTCACGCTTTCTAAGGCGCTGGGTTGGCATAATAGTATATAGAGTTGTTTTTATTCTAGAGCACTGGTTACCACTAACTAAGTCTAAGTGTAAAGGAGACTTTGCTGACTCTGGTTGGTGAGAGTGTGAATAATATATCAGTGAATTTACTTCAATACACAATTTTGAGGACACGATATTAAAGAAGGAAAAGTGTTCAAACAATCACTCACTGAACATGTACCTAGCATCCTGGAAAGTCAACGATATTCAACATTTTAGTGGGGAGATCTGAAAATCAGCAAAGTGCTATTATTTACTTCTTTCTCATTGCATTACATATAGTTGATTTACTAAAAGGAGTGTAGTAAAAATGTAATAAGTTTAAAATCTGGGGCAGTGTATGGTACTATTAATGCATGAAGTCCCTTTTAAAATTCTTTCAATAACTTTCTGGATTGTCAAATTGGCACACTGAAAAGAATCATTAGATTATGCCAATTTTTGAGACTGCTTTTTCACAGAGATCAAAGTAGACACAATTAGCTTTCCTTATTATAGGTTCCTAATTAATAAAATACATTTTTAGAATTTAACCAAGTGCTATTCTTCTCAAGAGATTGTTAAAGCTTTCCTCAAACAGTTGATCAATCTTTATAATACTTGTTCTAGGCCTTAAATTGTGAATGCCAAGTTATGTAATGTGAATCATTCTTGTCCTCCTTGCAAAGTGAAGAAATTAAATTTTAACAAAGCAATTGATCTTTCTAGGATCACATAGTAAACTATGATTAGGAGAGGACAGACCAAAACTTGTGACTTAAAACAATGATGGTGACACTATTTTTATTTTACAATGGCTATTAATTAAACAAACATGTTTGGGTAATCTAATATTTCAGTCAGAGGGTAACATATATTTTGAAAACCCAGATTTCTTCATTGGACCAAAATATTCTGTTCCTGCTCTAAGAATAAGACATAAACCAAACTAATTTGAAGATAATGATAATAGTATATTAACTATTGTTGTTCTCTTAGTATTTTGCTATGAAATTTTGTTTTTTAATAAAATAATAAAAAAAGAAGAAAAATATTATGTGGAGCACTAGTTTCATTCAAATTATCCCAAACAAGATTAATTGCAAAACATTGAGGACTTTTTTATTTCTTTGAATTTGTTTTGTCTTTTTGAGACAGGATCTTGCTATACAGTTCAGGCTGGCCTTGAGCTCACTTTGTAACCCAGGCTGTTCTTGAACTTGCCTTAGCCTCCCAAGTGCTGGGATTAGAGGTGTGCGACACCACACCAGGTTTCTTTGATTTTTTGAGGCAGAATCTTGCTATTTAGTTCAGGTTGACCTTAAACTTACTATGTAGCCCAATTTGGCTTTGAACTCACAGTGATCCCCCTGCCTCAGCCTCCTGAGTGTTGTGTTTACTGGCATGTGCCACCACACCCTGCCCTAAAAATATGATGGTTGTTTTTTATTTGTTAGGATAAAAATTAATCATTTACAGAAATAAACTGCTAAATTTTTTTGTAGTAAAAGTCAGTAAGAGATAACCTAGATTAGTTCTGGAGAATACTAGTGTTGTCTTGTATATTTTGAGATCCATTATAACCAATCTGAATTATGAAAATCATTGAAATCAGTTCCTGCTTTGGTGCTGATTATCTAGGATATGATATTTAATACAATTTTTTATGATTTTATCTTTCATCAATATTTTTGTCTACATGTTAATTTATTAGAATTTTCAGAGGAAAAAATAGGAAAGGAGAAAAAACACATTGGTTACTTTTATTATTTGTTAGTTGTCACTGCAAACGAAAAGCCAAGGAGCAGTTAGAATTGGGAAATAAAATGGGGTCCACATGTTGATCCTCAATGAGAAACAGACATAACTGCTAGACAACTGGACATACAACTGAATTCAAAATGGGATGTGTTGAGACCAATTCTACATGTGAAATTAGTCCCATGGTTGGTACTATTATTTTACAGTTATTTAAAGTTTACAATAATCATGCTCAAGATCTCCGCTGTTATTCATTTAAAAATCTGTATTATAAGTTTCTAAAAAATACATTTTCAGTACATCATGGTCTATAACTCAGTAAAGGAAAATGCTTAAATAAAGAGCCACAGGTAATTGAAGGCTACTGTCTTGAGATACCTGTGTAAGTATAGGGCTAAGGAAATAAAATTCATGAAACTGGACATATAATACTCATGATTTGTTCTTCATATGTAAATTCTTTCAGTTTAAACATATTAGTACATATTCAAAGATGTTTTTCTTCAGGAAGAGGGCTAAGTATGTAATGTTAAGAATCTAATTCAGGGCCCCCAACTCCAAGTCTGTGCAAAAATACTGGTCTCTTGTCTGTGAGGAACCAGGCCACAAAGCAAAAGGTGATGGGCAGGTGAGCAAGCAAACCTTCAGCCCCTCCCCATCACTCCTCATTACTGCCTGAGCTCTGCCTTCTGTCAGACCAGCAGTAGTATTAGATTATCATAAAAGCATGAATCGTACTGTGTACTGCACATATAAGCGATCTCGGTTGTTTGCGCCTTATGATAATCGAATGCCTCTATATCTGAGGTGGAACTGAGGCAGTGGTGCTAGAGCTGGGGAATGCAACTATCATGTGTAACAGACATATACAAATTAGAAAAGAAATTAATGCCCCAGTCCATGGAAAATTTGTCGTCCACAAAACCAGCCCCTGGTGTCAAAAAGGTTGCTCCTCAAATCTTTTTCCCTTGGAGATATTTGGGACAGGCTATGCATGTGTGGTCTTGTTTGGGTGTAAGAGGTGAATTTTTATGCTTCTTATATTTCTTACTGGATAAAAACCTCTAACACTCCTTCCTAAATGGGCACATGTGTGTCAGACTACTAATATGGAAATTCTCTGATAAAGAATCAGCATGGTATTACACAACTGAGAGGCAAATTTGGTATCATTTAGAGTTAAATATAATGTTTAATATAATACTATCATTATTTTTAAACTTATTTTCCATCTTGTAGATTTTATATAAAATATGAGACAGAAAATATAATTTGGAGGAATTTATGAATGAAAATTCATAGCAACAAACCAGACATTTCTTCTTTGGATTGGAAGATTCAAACACTTGAGAAAAGTAAGTTACATTTCATGGTCACAAAGCAGTTCACAAAGTAGCTCCATATTTTTTCAGTGATGAGCAACACATGATAGAATAAAAGATGCCTAAACATTTGTGAATTTTAGTAAGGGCTGACGGGTGACTAAGATCCAGAAGAAGCCAAATAAAAGCCTGATCTTTTACATTAACAAAATGTTCCTACAATGTTAAGGCAGCCTTTTCTCTACAAACATTTTGGGTACTTTCTTTAAAAGTTATTTTGGAATTAGTTCTTCCCTACTTAAAGTCTCTCCTGGAGTTAATAAAACATGATCAGCTATTTTTATTTTCAAATATAGCAACATAAAAATAATTCTGAGCACCTATCTCAAGAACACTGTTTGGGCCTGGGGAGATAACTCAGTAGCACAAGTGCCTGCCTGGCAAGCACAAGGTCCTGAGTTCGATCCCTGGTACCGCCAAAAAAAAAAAAAAAAAAATTAAGAACACTTTAAAAATAGCCTTAAAGTAACAACAATTCCTCTGCGGCAAGCAGAAATGAAGTATAAAAATTAAAAAAAATGAGGAACTGAGGCACAGCATGCTATTTTTCAGCATGATACATTGTAGTTTCCTAGTTTCTTCTGGAACCCACCTGTTGCTGTTCCTTATCATCAGCTTTTATAGCTAATATCAAGCTTCTAACGAAAGTTTGAAGTTTAAAATACTTTTGCTTCTGAATCTCTAGTTCATTTTCAATGAATCTGAATTCTTCATTCTAAAGAAGAAAACATTGAACAATGAAATTACCATATGTAAATTTAGGATGGTACATGTTTCATACACAATAAAAGTTTAAAAAACAATTAAATAGAGGAAAAATAAAGAAACTATCATTTTCGCACAAAGGAATACATATAAATCACAGAAGAGAATTATACTGTTAAGTCAAACCTGCTGTTTTAAATAAAACATCAACACAGAATGTTGGTTAGGTAAAATATCAAATCAAATAAATTCCAGTTAAAAAAGAAACAGTTTTCTTCTTGGAAAGATCCTATATGGCACCTAATCAATGTTTGGTTTAGGATTAATAGTAGAGGAAAATTAAATCCTAAAGTAATAGTAGATACACCAATGCGGAGCACATCATTTAGAAAGCCAGATACTGATCATTTAAAAGTTTATTTTGTGTCAAGGAATGATTGAAATTACCAAACTTATTAGTTTGCTGATCTCCCTATCATTAGGAAAATCTGTTATTTAGAAGGTATCTCCAAGTGTACCACTAATAGCAGTCATCAGTATTTTTGCTACCTTTGTAGCAACAAAACACTGGACTATGCCTTAGGAGTATTACAGTGTTAGGTCTCCTGATAACTATGTAAACTTGGGTAAACCAATTACCTTTTCTATAACTATGTTTACTCATCAGTAGAACGGATGTTACATGGGTAAGCCAAAGTTTAAAGTTTAGCTCTGGGTGATATAGGGGACAAAAAGATAATAAACATAAGAGCATTCTGAGTAGATTTACTTTTAAAGTTACAATAATCAAAAATATAGTGTAGATATAAGGGTAGACATATAGACAAATGGAATAGAATAGAGAGCCCTGAAATGGACCCACACATGTATGTGTACTTGGATTTTGCAAAGGTACTAGGGTGAGATAATGGGCCAAGAAAGTAGAGATTTTTGAACAAACAATGGTTGGACAATGTAAATGCACATGCAAATAATAGTTGATCAACCCTTACTGCACACATCATAGAAAAAGTTTAATAACAAATGGTATCTATACCTAAATATTTAAGAACATAAAACTTCTGCAGAAAAATAGAAAGAAATCTCTGTGACCTTGCATGAGATAACACTTTTAAATGCAGCACAGAAAGCATGAAATTCTAAAAGAAGACTTCATAAAAATGTTTGTCTCTACAAAAATTTACTATAAAGGACATGAAAACATAAGCTACATGTCAGGGTAAAATATTTGAAAATCACACATCTAAAAATGTACAGTGGGTTCTTGATTTATGAATTCAATTTGTTCCCGAGGGCTGTTTGTAACTCAGGTTGTCAAAGGAAGTCTCAGCGATTCTACACAGCCTTCAAAGTTGCTTTCCTGTATATAAGGGGATCTCAATGTCCTTAAAGAGATATTGCCCCAAGATTTCTCAAATCCCCATACAGGAAAGGATGTGGAATGCTCCTTCTAGAACTCTATCAAAATTAATTCTGTATTTGAGATTATCTGGAAGTACAAGTACCTGGTATTTGGGTCATAACTGCAGACTTTGGTCATAAGTTAAAACAAAAATTCTAGTCATAACCCAAGTAGTTTCTAGGTCAGGCTGGTCATAACTTGAGAGCCCACTGTACTTGTTCTACAAAAGATAAAGTACTCTCACCACCAATTATAGAATCAGCAGCAGTCTAAAAAACAGGGATAATACTTAAAGACACACTTCTTCTGAGAAACCACATAAGTGACCAATAATCATGTGAAGAAATATTCAATGTGATTTTCCATTAAGGAAATAGAAATTAAAATCACATTGATATACTACTAATAATATAGTAAAAAAGCTAAAGAAATTGATAATTCCAAGTATTGGTGAGAATATGGAACAGTTAATATTTCATACATTGCTGGTAGAATTATAAAATGGTACAGACATTGTGAAAAATTTGGCAATTTCTTATGTAAGTCAACATACTCTTTCTCACCCACTCATCCCACTCCTAAGGATTTATGCAAGGGAAATGAAAACATATATTAAAATAATCATACATAAATTTTTTCATTTTAAAAATAAAAGGAGGAAAACATTAACAGACAGACAACCTTTTACAAAACAGCAAAAGAACAATACAGACAATACAGAGTTACAAAGTGGTAGGAAATTAATAATGCTTGTTGTATTACATACTGATATCTTTAAAATGATTTCTCATGAAAACAGATAGAGACATGCAATACTGATCAATCAAGGACTCATTAACAGTTTCTTTCAGCAAAGAAACAGAAGACAGTAGAACAGCCATGTTAACTATCCTGTATATACATACATACAAAATCTCTCCTTTCCCTTCTCTTTTCCCATATCCCAGTTGCCCTTTACCCTTGAGTGTTTTCCTATCGTTTCACAGTGTCCATCATACCTCCGAGTTTCAATTAACTCTTTCATGTTTTACACTAGTGAGACAATGCGGTGCTTGCACATGCAGGTCTGATGCATTTCACTTATGAGTATGGTCTCTAGTTGTGACCGTTTATCCATAAAAGCCTTGAGTTTATCTTTCTTTATAGCTGAGTAATATTCCATTATATAAAAGTACCATAATTTTCTTATCCAATCCTCAGTGGATGGACATTTGGGTTGGTTCCACATTTTAGCAATTACAAATTGTGCTTCAATGAACATAGGTGCACATACATCACTGTGATATGATGTTTTTAGATCTTCTGGGAAAATACCCAGCAGCGGGATAGCTGGGTTGAATGGGACCTCTAGACCTAGTTTTCTGAGGAATCTCCAAACTGATTTCCACAGTGGTTTCACCAGCCTACATTCCCACCAGCAGTGGAGAAGGGTTCCTATTTCTCCACAGCCTTGCCAGCATTTGTTCTTGGTTGATTTCTTAATGCTAGCCATTCTTACTGGGGTAAGGTGGAATCTCAATGTTGTTTTAATTTTCATTTCTCGAATGACTAATGATGTTGAACATTTTCTCATGTATTTATTTCCCATTTGTATTTCTTTATCTGAGAAGTGTGTATTCATCTCAGCTGCCCATTTTTGGATTGGGTCTTTGCATTTGGGGGTGCTGATACTTTTTAATTCTTTATATGTTCTAGATAGCCCTTTGTGTCAGGGACAATCAGCTAAACTTTTTTCCAAGTTTGTGGGTTTCTTTTTACTTTGCTGGTGATTTCTTTAGATGTGCAGAAACTTTTCAGTACGACGAGATACCACTTGTTCATTCTTTCAAGTGTTTCACTTGCAGTTTTGTTTTTATTCATGAACTCTCTGCCTACCCCTATGTCTTCGAGGTTTTTACCTACTTTCTCTTCCAATAGATTTAGTGTTTCTGGTTTAATATTGAGATCTGTGAAGCATTTTCACTTGAGTTTGGTGCATGGTGATAGGCTTGGGTCTATTTTCAGTCTTTGGCAGGTAGCAAGCCCATTTTTCCAGCACCATTTATTAAAGAGGCTATCATTCTTCCAGTGAGTTTGTTTGGCCCCTTTATCAAAGATTAGGTGTTTGAGTGTGGTTTTGGTTGTGGCTGTTTCTTCCAGTGTGTTCCATTGATCCTCAGGTCTGTTTTTTAGCCAGTACCAGGTTGATTTTACGATAGTAGCTTTGTAGTATAATTTCCGGTCAGGGATTCTGATTCCCCCTGACTTGTCTTTGTTGCCCAGGATTGCTTTTGCTATTCTGGGTCTCTTCTGGTTCTAGATGAATTTAAGGCATGTTTTCTCAATATACATATATATTTATAGCAGCTTTATTCATAATAACTCCAAATTAGAAAAGTTCCAAGTTTTCTTTAACAAGAATAAACAAATTATACTTTTTACAGAACTATGTCCATTTGTCAAAAGTCACCTACTTATACAGCTAAAGCAGTAATTTCTAATGCATGTTAATTATACATCAGTAAACCTGATTAAAACACAATATATATAGTTGGTATTGTGACATGTGCCTGTAGTTCCTGCTACATGAGAGGCTGAGGCCATGCAACTTCTATTTTGAGTCCAGCCTGAGCAACACAATGAGATATTGTCACTTATAAGAGAAATAAGGGGACTGACAGTGTAGCTCAGTGTATGAACTGTGTACCCTAGTTGGATTGGATTATTAGCACTTTATGAATCAAAAACTATAAACAAAAAAGAACAAAAATATTTTAAAGCAGAAAATCCAAACCAAAACCAAACGGAACAAAAAATTCCCTCCTATATTTTTCCTTTCTCATTAAAGGGCATGTCCTTTCACCATCATCATCATGCTACTCTCTACCTCTTTGAGTTCAGTTATTTAGATTGTACATATAACTGATAATATGCAATGTGGTTCTTGTGTTTCTGCCAGACTTATTTCACATAATCCCCTATGTCATTCACATTTTCAAAAGTGATAAAAGTTTTAAAAGCTAAATAGTGTAAGTGGTGTAGATAGTAAACAATAATGTACATTTAAAAATAACCAACGGAGAAAATTTAGAGTGCTACTGCCACAAAGGTAAGTTTATGAGGTAAAGGCTATATTTTAATTGTACCATAGTGTAATTTTGAATAATAACAGCACTATCTACCTCATGAATATGTGCAGCAATAATCTGTCAGTGTACAATTAAAAATAAATGTGATAGTTAATTGATTATGCAGCAGAAAATTTGCCTACACTTTGTTCATGTGCAAAGACATTACAGGAGACTGAGACTAAGAGGAGCAGAATAATTTGGTGAAAGAAATTTCAAGGCAGTCTAATGTTGGGGTGGTAATGTGACTACTGTTTTCTACCTATACCTTGAGAATCAAGAGCAAAGTGCCCAGCAGAATGATTTAAAGGTTCTGAGTTTGACCAGAAAGAAAGTTCTGATAAAGTTGTGGCCTGCAAAAATGGAGCAGAACTTGGTTGCTGAAAACACTAGCATTAAAAAGCAAAGTACTGTGGAACAGAACAATAGAAAAGATGGTCTAAAGATGTCAAAAGAACCAAAAAGACTCCACTCTTCAGAATTTTAAAATTGCAAAGGTGA